GCAAATCGTTGCAGCGTTCATCATTCAAATAAGCAAAGTTTTTATTTATTACATATTAAATATTTTACAGTAAAATATCGATAAAAAATAATATAAAATGCTAATAACTCCTATTGAAAATATACTTTATTTATAACTGTAGATCTCATTATATAAACACATTTTCTATAAGAATAAATTAACTAATAAATTAATTAACAAATCGAAACGATTAAGATGCATTTTAAACACATTATCAACTATTATTTACAGAACACATTCATATTAGTACACATATATTTTAACTAACAAAACTTTGAAATATATATTATATAATATATAAAACATCTTTCTATTAAAAAATCAAATTTAAAATGTATTAATTTTACAACATAGAGATATTTTAATGATTTTAAAGAAAAATCAAGTTAGTAATTTTTCACTCACTAGGCACAATGGTACAACAAAATCACTTTGAATCCTCATTCTCAAATTATCCCTCTCTGTTTGAAGTAAATCTCCCTTTCTTTCGGTGATCGTTCATAAAACTTGTCCCTTGGATCTACTGCAGGCAATATTGAGCACTACAAGAGAAAATTAAGATTAATTAAATTTTATTAAAATATTAAACAATATATATAGCATGCTTGTAACAAGTATTGTCTATAAAATACAATGTGCATATTTTATATACATATGTAAATTAAATAACGTACTCCTGAATTCTTTCGCAATTCTAATGCTTTCGTCATTGCTTCGTCCAATTTCTTCTCTCTGTCTCCATGAGAGGGATGTGACGATATCCATGGCAGCTCTGGGGGCAACAAATGCATTTCTGTAAGCGTCCTCATTGTAGCCCAAAATACAACAGCTTCACGAATATCGATACAAGCCTGAAATTGCATATTAATTCGTGAATTAAAATGATAGATAATTTACAAGATAAAATATTAGACCGTTGTTTTATTAATATAAGTAGTATGTGTACCTTCGCAGCCAACTTGAGCCCTACTTCATCAGCTTCATTTTCCAAGATTCTACTATACGGCAGTTTGTACACAACATTCACAAACCGTTCTGCTATCAAGTGAGTTATAGCAGCTGCTACATCAGGAAATAATGCCCAAATTAAAAATATGGGTATTGCTATTAAAATATCCCATAACAGTTGATCGGATAATGCTTCCAGCTGTTGACAGAAGTCATTGATTAACTTTATCATCTAGAGAATCTGAAATTTTATATTACCACTTACCGAATGTAAAAGCAACGAATGTGCCATTTCGTGAGACAAAATAATACTCAATTGATCATCATTTTCGACAATCTTCAAAATGTCTAATGAAACAAAAATATTTCCACCCTAAGAAAACAAAAAAAAAAGATATCTCTTATACATTAAACACAAATATCAAACGTGTATAAAACTATATGAAATTGATAATGTACATACTGGTAAGATATATGAGTTTGTTAACGGTGTACTAATAACAGTTAAAGTCCATTGCGTTTCTCTTATCGACTCTAAATCATTATTAGCTGACAAAATTCTATCCATCACTCTTAAGAGCCTCTTGTAAGCTGGATGGGATTTAGGTACCAAATCTTTTTGATGTATTTCCAAATGCTGAAATAAGATTATACTGTATAATATAAACTGAAAAAGTAATTTTAAATATCCATAATGCAATTCCAAAGTGTTTTAAATTTTTTCTTAAACATTCTATAGATTTACTTACAGTCTCGAGAACCATCTTTCCTAGTTCTTTCTCTTGTTCTTTGCTAAAAATTATAAATCTCGAGCGCTTGGTCAATGGATCAGTTTCAAGATGAGTTACATAGTAAATAAATAATATGAGACCATACAATCCAAAACAACCTTGAAGAACATTAAGAAAAGTGTAGTGTAGTGTAAAAAATATTATAAGTAATTATTAATAGTAATTATTCAGTATTCTGCAGAACTTACCCAAAAATATATTAATCCTTTCCTTAAACCACCGTCTGTATTCCTCTTTTTCTTTCTCAGATTTGCGTCCCCACCATTTTTTCAAACCACGTCCCATCAGGAACGCTCCAATGCGTAAGACAGGGCGCATAAGCATAGCCACAAGTGGTGGAATATGCAAACTTTGAGTAGTACGAAAGTCGCATTTTTGCAATTTTAAGTACTGTAGCTTTCTGCAATCAATCTTGTCTTGAATGAAAAACTTCTCACTCTTCCATGAGTGATGATGGCCTTTTATAGAACGCACAACACAGTGGGTTGCTGTACACTGCTGAATGTTCTTATGACATAAACTTCTTGATATAGAAAACATAGCTCTGGATATGATAATTATACTCATAGTGAAATCAAAAATATAATCAATCGAAGGATATGACACTCCAAAAGCAATATAGTGGTACAATATCTCTGGTCATATCATATAGATAGATTATCAAAATTTGTCAATTCAGATTGTCAAAAAGAGCAATCCATGTCATCTATTATGATTGATTATTATTATGCCCACTATCATCCTTTTCAAAAAGAATATAACTGTTCAGCCAAGTTGACAAGTATGAATTCTCACAAGATGCAATGGATTTCTTTCAATGTCGAATTCCTGGAAAGAATTCAAGATTTTCACTTGTATTTTTATGCGCTACTAAAGATTTTCAATTTTAAAAACAAATAAAGATATGACTTATAAACATGATAACATCTTTCGCACGTAATCGTTGCATAACCCCAACCGGAATTTGTGGTTATCCGTTTCATTGTAATATTATAAAATAATTTATATATTCTTTCTCCTTACATTTCAGTTTTATCGTAGTTGAAAATTTAATTCATAAAGTTCAAGTTACTAAGTTTTATTAATTATTAAAATTAAAATTGAGAAAATTGATTAACAGCTATCAAAAGTGACAACGATGAATAAAAAGTGACAGTTTGACAATTTTTTATGTTTATATAATAATTCTTTAATAAACATTTAGAATAAGAGCCACACATACTCTCTTCTTAACTCACCTATGTATTAATTTTTTCAATATACAATAGAGATACAAAACTGTATACAAAAGTCGCGATATCTATATTCTGTTCACTTTGAATAGAAATCCTTCAGATCCACAGTTTAAAAATTAAGATTACCCGTTGGAACGGCCCGAACGATCCATTTTAGCCGGGATTTTGTAAAATTATTAACAGGAGCACATGATGATACTCGAAGCAGTGCCATATATTGGTTAACTAAAGTAACATTACGAGTGCATCGATGGTAAGTGTGTATCGACTGCACTGGTACAGTCGTTATGGTCGTTATGTTATGTTGTTTTGAGAGTGAGCTCCTATATTATCATGTAATCCTGTTGACTTGTGTTAATTTCTTGAAATTCCGACTAATATGCAACGTAAGAAAGGAGAGACAGTAATGGTACGTCTGCTCTTTTCTAGTGTCCGATAGTGTCCGAAGCTAGCCGAAGCGCCAAGTTCACACGTACGTGACTTGCAGATGTGTGCATGTATTTCCTCCCTCATGCTGTTTGCTGTTCGCGTCTCAAATCTGGCGACACTGGTCCGGATTGCGACTAGAGGTTTCGCGCGCCACGATGCTCCGCAGCCATCCGTCGACATGCGATTGACGGATAGCGGTTGACGCCATGAGGTCTCGCCCAGGTTTTGCCGAGGCCGTAAGCGTGTGTGTGTGTACGTATCATACGTGTGTGTACCTTTTCCGTTCGGCATATGTGTACACGTCCGTTCGTTGAGTGTGTGTGCACGAGGTATATGTACGTTCATCATGAGTCACGGCATCCGTGATTCTCCGGTCGCGTTCCGTAATTAAATCTCCTTCACGCCGACGACAGCGGAAATGCGACTGATGGCTCCCGGGAGTACATGAGTGGCCCGCTGCTTTCGCATTCAGTAGGGAAAGCTCGCTGCTCCTCCTGTATAGAAAAGATGGCTCCAAAAGCAGCGGACGGGCACGGTAATCCCAAAGCTTCGCTCGCCGCTTTCGCCTTCGTCGTCATCGTCGGCGTCTCCTTTATCATCGCCATCGCCACCGTCGCGATCAGTTAGTGCCGTGCGCGCCTCCCTACCACCATTTCCCGTCATCTCTCCACCTTTGCGCACATATCTCGGTCCGCGGTGGATTCTCTTCTCAGGTAGTCGTCCGCTCATCGCAGCGTTGTTGGCGCGTTCGTTCGTCTTGTCGTCCACTCTCGTCCTCCTCGCGTTTCTACGATTGTTCCGACTCGCGATGTGTTTTCGCGAGACACTTTGGAAATTATCGACCCCAGTGGAATGGGACTCCGTATCTATCGTCGTCCGAAGCCGAGGGCATAGAGCATAGGGCATGCCGAAGGTATAGGAGAGAAGAACGAAGAGTGTGCGTGGTTGCTGCACGTGGATGTTTTATGTTCATTTGACTTGCTCCTTTCATCCGAGCATCGCAAAAGGTGTGTTGTTGTGCGAATGCAATTGTTTATCTCGCTTAGTTTGATCTCTCGTACAGTTGAAAGTTTCCTTTTATGGTCGAGGAACTATTGTGAATAAACATAAATATCATTGAGGATTGGATCTGTTTGTTTTAACTGTCTGTTGTTGCATTTTCTGCATTTAAAAGCCGTGTACGTATAAAACAAATTTCAGAGAAACAAAGATAAGAGAAGAGAGTGCAATTTTTCATAAACATATCTATGAGTGTATAAATATTTCAGATTATGACTGTCATGGCTTAAATATTTATTTATCTGTAGCTGTCTTGCTCATCTGATAGAAGCGCAACAGGCGAAATCATGGATCAGACGAGAAATAGGCCGAGTAGGCCACGATTGCGGTCCCACGGTAATTCCGCTAGGGTGCTTGTGTTTGATCAAAATGAGACGGAAGAAACTGCCTGCAGCATGGAAGCAGAAACGCACAGACGTCCAATCCCACCAAAAGTGGAGAGCAAAGAAGCTCCAGTTCGACCCGGTTAATATCATCTTCTTTCACATTTATTTAACTATAGCTTGCTGTTTCCTGTAAAATAATTTATTTTACCGAATTACATGTTATATCTAAATTATGTCATTTCAGTTAGTGGAGAGTTATCCAATCTTATTCGAATGAGAAATTCGACAATTGGAAAGTCGGCACCTTCTTTATCAGTTCATGTGGTTAGTACGTCTTATACATGATGTGGTAACTTATTTGGACATTCTGTGACAAAGTGTACAACATCTTGTTTTTAGCGTGATTTCAACATTCCTCGCCGTGCTGCTAAAGCGGCTCATCGTAAATCTTTCATCGCAACTACGTCACCTACCTTACCACGTTGCCATTCACCTTTGTCAGGTATGTAATCTTTAAGCGACCAGTAATCATCCTTATTTTTGTCTATTATTTCTTTCTGATCAAATTGAAAGTAAAGAGACGATATTTGTTAAACACATGCACTTGACTTTATTAGATTTAGAATATTCTTAAACAATTCTATCCTCATATAGTGTCCTTGAAATCAGATCTCAAACAAGTTTTTTTGTCCCGGCGTAAACTTTACTTAGTGGAAAGATCTTTTTACCTGATTATTTATTGACAATATGGCAGATTAATTTCTTCTACTGCTTGTTCCCGATATAGCATTCGTTCCGATCGTAGGCAGTCCCCTAGAGAGTCCTAGGATGTCATCCAGTCCACACTTTGCTTTTGCTCCAATTAAAAGGTATCTACACACACTTATCGTTTGTTGTGTCGGAATTTAAATTAGTCCGATCAGATTGCACAAGAGGTGTCGGTAAGGTGTCGTCATTGTAAATGACGACTATATCTCTTGTGTATTAGAATTATAAATAGAAAGGAAAAATGGTGATACGAAAGCTGCGCTACGTAAAGTCTTTAAAGAGAAGTAAAACTTTAATAAAGAAATGCCTGTGAGTTTTTATATAATAAGAACATCAGAATTTTTAGCATAGTGTCTTGATATCATTGTACGATTTCTTAACTTGCACAGGACTTTTGGAAAGATGTTATTAATTAACTGCAATATTGTGCATTTAAGGATCGGCGGAGCCACAGGAACCGGCGATGGTAGAAGATGGTCAGTCGCCAGTTTACCGTCCAGCGGTTATGGAACAACACCTGGTTCCAGTAACGTTTCGGTAAGCCAATCGGTATGCGCAGTGAGCGCTTTCTGTCCATGCTAATTACGATTGTTATCCGTCATTTGTATTCCATCAGTCACAATATTCGAGCCAAGAACGTTTGCATCAACTGCCAAATGTTCCCACCAAGGACGAGCTGCGTATGTTATCTTGTCATTTCTCTAAACCCGGAACACCGTGCTCTTCGCATCCGGGGTTCCCAGGCTCGAGCATTCCGGGTAGCGCGTCTCTTAGCCTCGAAGAAGAGGGTCGACGATCGCCGTTACATCGTCCACGTTCCCGGAGTTTGAGGTAAAATCATAGATACGTGGATAATAATACATACGATATTAAAATATCTTTCGAACAATTCGACAAATTGATATTAAGCGATTAACAACTCGACGCAAGTGCATTAATTGTCTATAATTTGTACAATTACAGCAGTCCGAGTCGGTCACCTGTTCTAGACAGTGAAATTGTTATGATGAATACTTTGTACAAGGAGAGGTTTCCAAAGGTATCGAAAAGATTTCTTTGTCGAAAAAGGTTTTTTTTATCAATTAGCAGACTATCAATCGCGATAATTACATTTTCTCAGGCAACGCAGCAGATGGAAGAGCGGCTAACCAACTTCATTAATGAAAACAAAGAGATAGACAATGACGTGGTGGCCAACATGACGCAAGATTCGAAACCAATTCTACGCTTTGCACATCATCAAGTAATTGAAGTGGCCAGAGACTGTTTGCAAAAATCTCAGGAAAAATTAATTACAACGAGATATTTTTACGAGATGAGCGAAAATCTGGAACATCTATTAATGGACGTGTGTATTTGTGATTTGATAATTGTGATGTAATAATAATTGTTTATCGAGACGCGCAATAATTGTCGCTTTATTTACGCAGACGAAAGAAAAATCTTTAGAAGCCGCAACGAGATTAACAGGACTGATAAAGAAACTCTTGTTAGTTATATCACGTCCAGCGCGCCTGTTGGAATGTTTGGAATTCGATCCCGAAGAGTTCTACCATCTACTCGAGCAAGCGGAGGGCCAAGCGAAAATCAACGCGGGGATAAAAACTGACATTCCTCAATATATCATCACAAAGCTCTCGTTAAATCGTGATCCCATATCTGGTAAGTATTGTTTCAAATGCGTAATGCGTTTCTCCAAATAAATCTCTTGCACAAACGTACGTGAAATTGTTGTAGAGTTGCAAGAAGATTTGAATAAGTTGGAGGATTCGGCGAGTTCGAGCGACAGTAATTTGCAAGTGACATCGAGTCCGAATAAAGATGACGATAAATCTCAGCGTATCCCGTGCGAAAGTGACTATGAAGTGCTCAAGTTGATCAGCAACGGCGCCTACGGTGCGGTGTATTTAGTGAAGGAGAAGATCACCCGGCAGAGATTCGCCATGAAGAAAATCAACAAGAATAATCTAATGCTGCGAAATCAAGTAGAGCAGGTGTTTGCCGAAAGAGATATAATGAGCTTCACGGATAATCCATTTGTAGTCTCCATGTACTGCAGCTTTGAGACCAAGGTGTGTATGCTGCACTTTGTTTCTAATACGCATTTTTCACGATAATCATCGTCATTAAAAAGTGCGTATTCTTTCAGAAACACTTGTGCTTGGTAATGGAATACGTGGAGGGAGGGGATTGCGCGAATCTTTTAAAAAATACTGGTGCACTGCCACCAGATATGGCAAGATTTTACTTTGCAGAGACTGTCTTAGCTGTCGAGTATTTACATAGTTACGGCATTGTACATCGGGATTTGAAGCCTGATAAGTAAGCTCTCATTGTATGGAGAAAACATTGAGCGGCAAAACAAGTGACTAACGAATTATTATTTTTTTATAGCTTACTCATCACTGCCCTGGGACACATTAAGCTTACCGATTTCGGCCTTAGTAAAATGGGTCTAATGTCCCGTGAGTACGAGAAGGACTTGAATTATATAATACGTATGAACAAATGCGCAATGGAAAGTGAATAATTGTTCGCGTTTTGTGATTTAAAGTGGCGACAAATCTCTACGAGGGCTACATCGATCGAGAAACGCGGCAGTTCTCGGACAAGCAAGTGTTCGGCACGCCGGAATATATCGCTCCGGAAGTTATATTGCGTCAGGGTTACGGCAAGCCAGTCGACTGGTGGTCCATGGGTGTGATATTGTATCAGTTTCTGATCGGCTGCGTGCCCTTCTTCGGCGAGACACCCGAGATATTATTCGCTCACACAGTGAATGGTAATTTTTCTTTATTATCAAGTCGACATTTGTTTTTTAAAATTAGAAACGATTGCGATGGATAATTCTCTCTCTCTCTCGTTCCTAGATGATATCGAATGGCCAGACGAAGATGACGAGTACGTCCAGCCCGAGGCGAAGAGCATCATAACGGCGCTTCTACAGCAGAGTCCTAGGGATCGATTAGGGACCGGTGGTTCGCACGAGGTCAAGGAACATCCATACTTCTACGGAGTAAACTGGAATAGTTTACTTAGGCAGAAGGCTGAGTTTGTGCCACAACTAGCCAACGATGAAGATACTAGTTACTTCGACAGTAAGTGTCGGAGATATTATACCATTGTTACGATTGAAATGGAGTTGAATTTTAATGATATGTTGCCGGAATTTATCGCTAAATAATTACAGCAGTTGAGTCACTTTATCAGCCGTTATCGAAGAAACTCCATTCGAATGTTCCAGCTCGTATGGATAGGTACAACCACGATTTGGGCGACGACACGGACGACACCGACGATTCTCCCTTATTCGGATCGTTCTCCTCTTACTCGCCCCAATCGCGCAAGATCTCGCAAACACGCCCGCCTCTGTTCAACCCCGACGCCGAAGCGGACGCTTCGAAGAAACAGCTGTTCCGTTCGGAAGCTGGAATCGAGCTTGAAGGCACAATCGCGCAACTGTCCCTCGGACCGAACGCGTCATCGTCGGTCACGCCGCCATCGAAACTAGCCGCCAACGATCCTCAACCCGCACATTCGTCCGAAAAGCATCGGCCGCCCCTCTCGTCGATGAAGAATAGTTCCTGTGAGAATCAAAGCAGAACCGACAAATCAAACGTCACGACGTCGTCCAATACGACTCCCAGTACTACAGTCTCGTCGAGCAATGACTCCCAATTAACGGTCGTTAAGAATAGTCAGGTGGAAGGAACGTCGATTAATCTGAGCACGCCCGACTCCTCGCAAACCGAAGAGTCCGAAGATATCAGTCCTCAGATCCAGAGAAAGCGGCACACGCACTCCCGTGATAAGCTGCCCAGGTTCAGTATATCCATTGACGATGAACACATGTGAGTCATTCAGCCACATCCTCGCAACAGTACAATTTCTTTTTATTTCTTCAGTTTCTTTAGTTTCTGACTCGTACACATTTCTAATTTCTACACATAAATTTAATTTATACGCTTTATTCTACAATTTGACACGTGATTCATGGTTGACATAGCTTTTGATTTTATTCATAATTCATTGAGCGATGAAGCAAGCCAGTGATAAGAAAAGAATGACTTTTCGTTTCGCAGGTTGGACCTCGCGGCGGCGAATAGAGATGCGGCGGAGGAGAGCAAGCATAACTCCAGCACTGACTCCTTCGAGTCCTTCAGTGCTATACCACCCATGTTACCATCCGCCCGACAGAAATCTCGATCCGTCATCAAATCCGCCTCGACCAGCGGACTGTCGCTGGTGATCCCGACCAGCGATTTCGCCTGTGCGTATTTCTCATAAAGGCGCTTGAAAGTATATACAAAGCATTTAATAGAAATTTGATTTCTCAATTAAATTGTACATTTTTAGACGATGCGCCGTTAAACACCCAACCGATCGAGTCGCCCGGTGGATCATCGACCGCGTCTTCGAGGGACACGTCGCCCTGCCGCGAGCTCAGCCCTCTCGTAACTAGTCTGAAACCGCCCATTATCATTCGCCGAGGGCCGTGCGGCTTCGGCTTCACCGTGCACACCATCCGAGTTTACTACGGCGACAGTGATTTTTACACCATGCATCACTTAGTAATGGCACGTATAGACACGAGTGTCGTGTCGGCAAACTTTTCTCAAATTCCGAAATGATGAAATAGTTTTACAAATGCTATATATTTTGTGTAAATCTCGTACACAGGAAGTGGAGCAATCCAGTCCGGCGTTCGAAGCCGGCTTGAGACCGGGAGATCTGATAACGCACATAAATGGCGAACCGGTGCAGGGTCTGTATCACACTCAAGTCTTGCAGTTGATGCTGAGCGGCGGCGACCACGTGACGCTGCGCAGCACACCGCTGGAGAACACCAGCATCAAGACCGGCGGCAGGAGGCGCGATCTCGCGCAGAGCAAGCTCGCGCGTCGGACGCTGCACAAGCAACGGAAGCAGAAGCGGGATCACTCGGACAAAAAGCGGAAAACGTCGCTCTTTAAGAGAATAAGCTCGAAACGGGCGAGCGTAGAGATGCAGCAGGTACACTGAGAATTTTTGCTTTTGTACTATTTCTTACACGCATACCGCTAAATGTGCAATCTATCGTGTTTCACGATATCTGTATAGTTGAACTTAGCGTCACAGGTACGTTTAGCATCACATAATTAAACGCGATACGTTTCGTTGTACTTTTTTTCACACTGGTGACTTTTTGCACAAGCGAGAATTACGTTTCACACACACGTTACTACGCAGAAAAGCAAAGAAATTTTCAAGGCACCAGCGAAATCTTAAAGCATATACGCAACACACCGATTACGTTAAGTGCATTTTCTTTTGCAGCCGTTAACTATCAGTTGTCCATTGTCAGCACCCATTTTGTCCAGCGACAGCAAACCTCCACTTATGGTATGATTTCTTATACATTTGTTCGACTTTTTCGCCAAACTCCGCCTACTCGCCGTCTTCCGTTGTGTCGTTCTGTTAAACACGGCTTTCGAATGCTACTTGACACTCTGCAAATGATCGTTGTTACGCTTACCAAGTTCCATACAACACCCACCTAACCCACAATCAGTCAGTTGTTGTTAACGATAACGGGAAATTGTTCATCATATTTGTGGTCAGTGAAAAAATGGACTCTCCCAAAAGAAAGAAGATACAAGAGGAATTGTCGGATTCGCGTGTATTAAGAGTGTTGTTGAAACTTTTGCAGATGGCCGCGGGCATTTGCTCGCCGTCGATGGTGACGCCCAGTCGATCGTTCCAGTCGTTCACCCGCTCGCAGGAAACGTCGCCGTACTTCGCGACATGCTCCAAGTCCGTCTGCAGCCCGTCCCCGCCGACGAATCGCGCCAGCTCGGACTCTTACCACTCGACCGGAAACTCGAGCCCGTGCTCGAGTCCGAATTCCTCGTCGCCGGGCTCGAACACGTCCGTGGGCAATCTGTCGGGCATCTCGAATCAGTCGCACTTTCAACAACGGCCGAGCACGCTTCACGGCCTCAAGCACAAGCTGCACACGGCCACGAAGAACATTCACTCGCCGAATCGCAGAAAGTCCGTCGGCCACATACCACTGTCGCCGTTGGCTAGGACACCGAGTCCGTCGCCGATTCCCGCCAGTCCGACGAGAAGCCCGAGTCCTTTAGCGTTTCCCACGGGCCATCAACCCGGTAGCTCCAATACCACGCAGTCGTACAGCCCAGGTATGACAAAATGTCTTACGAGTGTATGATTTCACACTTTTTCAAATACTACTATTTCATTATTTATTCTTGCAATTATTTAATGCGACAAATTAAACGACAAGTAATATCTCTAATGTTCTCGAATGATTGACGCTTTGACGATTCTGCCGCGCTATTCAGGAGCGTGCTTGTCAACGCCGAACAGTCAGAAGAAAGGATACGGTCGGCCCAAGTCCGCGGAGCCGGGTTCGCCACTGCTGCGACGAGCGCTCAGTCCCGATCGGCTTCATCCGCGCTCGGCGGAAAGCAAGACGTCCATATCACCGTTGGCGAATACCGTGGTGAAGGTGACGCCGCGCGTAACCATCGCGCAGTCGTCCCACAACAGCAGTGAGACCTCCGACGAATCCAACGATAGTTTCAAGGATGCCAACAACGAAGGCGGCGCGAAAAGCGAGAAGAAAGTGTCGAGCGAGCAGAAAGCGGACTACTCCAAACTCACGCACGGCATATCCATTAATTTAGGAAATGTAAGCATGTCGAATTCCTGCGGCAGCACGCAGCTGCCGCGAATCGCCGAGGAGAAGGACTCGCCGACGGGCACCAAGAGCGACGACTATTCGTCGTCGAAGGAGATCGGTGCGGAGAAAGGCGAGAGCAAGCGATCGACGAGCGGTCACGATCAATCCAAGGACAACGCGAATAAGTCTCAGAGCGACAAACGCGGCGACAATGGTGGCAAGACGTGCGGCAAGAAGGAGGAGGGCGTTCTTCAATCCGGTACCTCGCTGGCGAGCACGCAGCAAGCAGCCAGCAGCGCCACGAACTTGCAGAACTTGGACCAGAGATATTGTCAGACCAGCGAAAGGTTCATCGCGTCGTCGTTGCCGCACAAGACGCCGCACGTTCCCGAGCAGAAGAGCAAGGAGATTCATCAGGAGGTTAAAAAGATACTTAAAAGATATAAAGTCGATTCCGGCGACGGAGCTCATCCGAGCGTACACGAGAGCAGCACAGTGTCGGCAAAAGAGAAGAAGAACAATTGAATCGGCGCGAAGTAAGGGCTTTTGAGGGCGGCGGAAAGTTTCGAATTACCTGTGTATCAATCAAATTCGAAGAGGTAAGAGCTCGAATCGACGCGCTTTGCGTTCGACCATCGTAGACGAGAGACAAGAGACTAATCAAAAAGAAAGCGAAAAAGGGGAAAGATCGCGGGGTTTGAATTCATAGCTTTATCGAATTTCCGTATTCAAATCTATAGGCTTCCGTCAAACGAATACCTGAAAGCGATTAAGATTTATATTTCCGAGAGGTTTTAATCTATTTCCGTAAAATATAACGTTTATCATACAGGACGTACCGCGCGTACGAAGAACTTTTCAAACGAGATATACGTTTATTTTAATTATCCGAACACACACACTCAGAGGGAGTATAGTGAACTAATTTGAAATCACAAAATCGCATATATTACAGTGATACGATTGGAGTGATTTTATGCTTCGGGCTACAGTATTTACACGATCTCATTTATATTTATATAATATTAGCACGTTATATCTATACGGTCGACATAGTATTCGGTGACTCTCGCATACGATATCCCGTGTACGCGAAATAGTTTTATAGGCTGTTTATTTTTGGCAGTGAGAGAAAGAGGAGAAGAAGCGGAAGAGGATATGACGCTATTTTGTTGCGATGGTTTATGTAACATACAAGATGATTCCGCGTTGTGCGCAACCGTGAGATTATATCGAAATTATAAAGTGATGATACACATTCATTGACAAAAGTTAGGAAACAACATATTAAATCGTCTGAAAAATTCGCAGCGTATTTTACGTATAATGAAAGACATCGCTGAAAACGCTGCGAATTTTACGACGATGTATAATTGTTTAGAAATTTTTAATGTATTTTGTATTTATTCACTCGCGCGCGTAATTGATGGTATCTCGAATATGAAAAGTATATATTTCCTTTACAAGATATATTTCTTGTATTCGACGCGATCAGTTGTATATGCAAAGACGTAAAGAAAATGCATTAAATAATTCGCGAACAAGTGCTTGGTTTCTTATTTTTTCACGAGTGCGTGAGTGGTTGCGAGGAAGAGAGATATGCGGTCGGTATACTCGTACACTCGCATAACTCAGGTGTTTCGTCGCTCATTTAACCGACGTTTTCGTGCACGAGTCGAAAAATATATATTATATAATATAAGCACTGTCACACACACACACACACACACACACACACACACACCGGCACAGCAGAATCAAACACCGCCACGGAAGTATCTTGCGTACTAGAGAAAACTACTAGAGAAAA